TCATCATCACTTAAAGATTTAACGTTTGCTACTGCTTAACTACTTAATGAGGATGGTAATTTTAGAAGCTACCTGGCGATGTATAACCGGGCAGAAACTGCCTCTTGCTTTTGCTCTACAAGAAACTTAGACAACGTCGACCATATGATTTGTCATTGTCCAATTTACAATGAAGATAGATTTATCCCCGAAATTACAAATTTATACGCTTGGTTTCAGGTGTCCATTCGATATGCTTGTCCAGAAGCCACTGTTTCATGCTTTTTACAATGATGTTCAAAATATATAGATGAAAAGACAATTAATAATTTCTAATTTTTAGTTTTACATTTTAGTTTTCATCAAAAGCCGAATACTAATTTAATGTTAACTTTGTATCATGTATTTCGGTTTACGCATTCTTAGTATTATACATTTACAGTAGTGGTGCACTTATTCTAAGAAAAAGAAAGAGAGAGAAAAACTACAATACGGCCTTTTTTCCCATGATAAAAAGTGAGTCTGCAAGCGTTATTATTTCATAATGTCACCACACGAGATGGCATTATTACAACGAGCGTTCTTAATAGAAACGACCGAATAGAAGCCAAATTCAAAAGTCCTCCAATCAACGAGATCAAAAAATAAAAAATAAGAATATTACGTAAGATGAGATCTATTTCCTTCTTCCCCTTAGTAAGAAATCGTGAGAAATTGTTGACCTCCTTTCAGGTAAGAAATTGTTGACCCCTTACGTAATTTATGGACGGCCCCTTATCATTATCTTCATTTATTTTAGTTGGGATGTTTAATTTATTAAGTTTTCTGAAGGAATATATTCTAAAAAATATTCGACATAAAAGAAATGATGATGTAAAAAGAAATAATGATGTATTAAACTTCAAGTAATTTTCTGCTGGTTTAATTAAGAGAAAAAAATCATCTTATAATTTAATTTGAAATTCACGTTCTTTTCCACGTTGAAATCTATCTCTTAATTCAATAAGATTAACTATTCTACACCATAACTTTGCAGTTGAGATGTCGGATGTTTCAGGATTAATTAATGGATTCTGTAAATTAAGAATATTAGAGTTCCCACCTGAAGCAGTTGAAGAAACTGTTTTTTTTTTTTTTTTTTTTTTTTTTTTTTTTTTTTTTTTTTTTTTTTTTTTTTTTTTTTTTTTTTTTTTTTTTTTTTTTTTTTTTTTTTTTTTTTTTTTTTTTTTTTTTTTTTTTTTTTTTTTTTTTTTTTTTTTTTTTTTTTTTTTTTTTTTTTTTTTTTTTNTTTTTTTTTTTTTTTTTTTTTTTTTTTGTTTGTCCTGAGTTAGAGTCCGGATTTTAACCACTAGACAATTGATAATAATGGCTGTATAACAATGGTTTTATAATAATTTATAATGTCCGCATTTTAACCACTAGACAATTGATAATAATGGCTGTATAATAATGGTTTTATAATAATAATTTATGATGGCTGTATAATAATGGTTTTCTGTAGAAGTCCTGAGTTAGAGTCCCGATTTATACCACTAGACAATTGATAATAATGGCTGATAGGTGGTCTGTTTCTTTTTGTACATGTTTTCTGTAGAAGTCCTGAGTTAGAGTCCGGAGTTGAGAAGTCCGGATTTTAATAGTAACAGAAGAATTAGTTTATAACTAATCATTATGACTCACAGAAATAAATATCTTTTAAAGATACATTATTCAAAAATAACTTTGATAAGGTGGAAAAAAATTTCACCAACACTCTTGGCGATTGGAGAATTTTCATCATTACGAATAAGATTTAATTTATATTCATGATTAATTGTTTTCTTGTTTGCTGTTGTCTGTATTAATGGTAGCCCAAGATTGAACTTCTGCAGTAGCTCCAAATATAAATATTACACCACCCACAAAATAAGTGAAAGATGCCATGTAAAATACGTAGTTCCAATAAACCATGTCTTCTGCCTTATGTGTAAACATAAATAAACAAATTTAGCAAATTTATAAAGTTATACATATAAATATAAATTTTAATTAAGAACTTTTCACTTACGTTTATATCTAGTATAACACCAGCAACGTAAGGGGATAGTATACCTGCGGCGTTACGTAAACCATGTGTTAATCCGAAAAGGACACCTAAAACATAATTTAAAGTAAGGAAAGTTCTTAAATATCGAATAAAATATTTTTTTCTTAACGAAGTATATTAATTCGATTTTTTAAATATAATTTTCACATTAAAAGAAAAGAATAGAAATTATGCTCAATTGCTTGTTATAGATATTGTGATACCTCATGTTACTTTAAATCTTGTTTACGATCGTAATAAATTATTAATCACTTTAATCACAACGCCTTAAGCCTATAACCCGAGATCTCTCGGGCAAGTTACATAGCGTTACGAAAAACGCGGGCGTTTGGTCCCCCCCAAAATTTTTTTCTGAATTTTTGAATTGTTTATTAGGACTCCAAATTTTTTCAAAATTTTTTTCCGCGCGAAAAAATTATATCGCGATTTTAAAAAATCTTTAATGACGCGCGATTCACGCTTTATTGCTTTTTAATTGTGTTTTAATGGAAGTTTGATATCAAATTTCATTCATCGTTCTAAAGCTATAGTGCACGGATTTTTCTTCGGTAAAGTTATTTAAAGCTAGTTTCTGATGTCAAAAACGACTTCCGATAGTTTTTTAATTTTTTAAATAATAGATTTTATTATATGTAAGTTTAATTAAGTCGGGACGGTCGGAAATCGCAATAAAAATTTTAATTTTTTAAAAATGTTTAAAAATATAAGGCCAACTAGTATTCACCCTACTATAAACCCATCACCTCCTGACACTTCTATGAGAATGTCCCGAGAAATCCCACCCCAGCTGTTCTCAAGGTCATCCAGCTGTGTAAACAATGATTCATCAGTGTCAAATTTCACAGAAAGGCAAGACAACGGAAAATAAAATTTGGAGCTTTTTCTTCAAAATAAATGCATTTCTTTCGTTTTTTTTCAGTTTTAAGTATATTTTACGTTTAATTAAATTAATATCAAAAATGTCTTTCTCCTTAAGGGGTTAATTAATTAATATATGCCGTTTTTTACTTATAGAAGTATGACTGTATGTAATTAATTCTATTTATTCTAGTAATGTTGTAATTACGATTTTTCAACACTTTTTTTATAGCAGCTCACAGGAGGTAAGTCGTATTGCAACGAATCATTTTATGTCTTGTTGCAATATGAATCAAGTTACATAATGAGGCGATTAAATTCAAATCTATTCTTGTATATAATTTTAAAATAGAAGATCGACATTGTATAAGTGTATAAGTGTATTTTATTTGTTTCAGGGCATACAAATTTTTAAAAATACAAATCGCTATTCTTGATTACTAGAAATTAATATGATGCAGTCTTAATATTGCGAATAAATGGTTGCAAGTTTATATTCAATGAATTAAAAAGCAAAAATTCTAATTGAAATTTTTAGAAAATAAATAATTATTTAATACGATCACGTTGTGAGTATATTAATTAACTTAAAATTTTAGAAATTTTATTTTTATGTAGAAGTATGACACTAAAATGTAGGCAACATTCTTATGCGAAACAACAGCATTAAAAAATAAAACACTTTAGTTAGTTGCTGAGAAATATAATTGAAAAACTAACGTTTTCAGCCTGATTAACAGGCCATCATCAGATCTAAAAAGGAAAATGGAACAGATACATTCCATGTATAGAATACAAATATTTAAATCAAAATTTAAGAACAAAAATTAAAAAAATATATACAAGAGAAACGGAAGAATATATAAAAATAACACAAAATAAAATAAAAATTAAAAATTAAATAAATCTTCCAATAAACTAATTCTAGCTTGAGTTTTTAGTGAACGTTTTAATCATGTACTTCCACACTGACGACAGGCTCTCAGCATCTCTCGCATTTAAACATCCCTCACATAGCCTATTCTTATATATTTCAATCTTCCCCGCCGTCATTGATATAGTGGGGGAAGATACAGGTTTTATAATTGTTGCCTTGTCCCATTTCACCACCGAACGTTGAACTTGGTAGGAGTCCCGATACGATTAGTATCGACAGAGCAGCCACTTGGGAAGCGTGATTGAAGGAGAATTACTAATCAGAACGGATAAAAGAAAGAAGTGAATTTAATATAATCTTTGAGAATCAAGGACACGTCGCACTCAGTTAGTTAACTAACTTAGTGCGAGGTGTCCCGCTTCAAACTTTCCGAGTGGCTGGTCCCTCTTCGATCTATTCCCGATCTTAGGGCGACTTTCTTTCTACGATCTATGATTTCTGCACACAAAGAAAGGGTTCCGATACAGACATTTCTTTCTAATCTTTCTAAACAATTAAATTTTTTTTATCTAAGTTAACCGATTTTCACGGATTTTGTGATGGTTCGGACCTTACAGAAATACTGATCTCATTTACTTTCATTTATCTTTTTATCACNTTTTTTTTTTTTTTTTTTTTTTTTTTTGTTTGTCCTGAGTTAGAGTCCGGATTTTAACCACTAGACAATTGATAATAATGGCTGTATAACAATGGTTTTATAATAATTTATAATGTCCGCATTTTAACCACTAGACAATTGATTTTAACCACTAGACAATTGATAATAATGGCTGTATAATAATGGTTTTATAATAATAATTTATGATGGCTGTATAATAATAGTTTTCTGTAGAAGTCCTGAGTTAGAGTCCGGATTTATACCACTAGACAATTGATAATAATGGCTGATAGGTGGTCTGTTTCTTTTTGTAGATGTTTTCTGTAGAAGTCCTGAGTTAGAGTCCGGAGTTGAGAAGTCCGGATTTTAATAGTAACAGAAGAATTAGTTTATAACTAATCATTATGACTCACAGAAATAAATATCTTTTAAAGATACATTATTCAAAAATAACTTTGATAAGGTGGAAAAAAATTTCACCAACACTCTTGGCGATTGGAGAATTTTCATCATTACGAATAAGATTTAATTTATATTCATGATTAATTGTTTTCTTGTTTGCTGTTGTCTGTATTAATGGTAGCCCAAGATTGAACTTCTGCAGTAGCTCCAAATATAAATATTACACCACCCACAAAATAAGTGAAAGATGCCATGTAAAATACGTAGTTCCAATAAACCATGTCTTCTGCCTTATGTGTAAACATAAATAAACAAATTTAGCAAATTTATAAAGTTATACATATAAATATAAATTTTAATTAAGAACTTTTCACTTACGTTTATATCTAGTATAACACCAGCAACGTAAGGGGATAGTATACCTGCGGCGTTACGTAAACCATGTGTTAATCCGAAAAGGACACCTAAAACATAATTTAAAGTAAGGAAAGTTCTTAAGAAAAAAATATTTTATTCGATATTTAACGAAGTATATTAATTCGATTTTTTAAATATAATTTTCACATTAAAAGAAAAGAATAGAAATTATGCTCAATTGCTTGTTATAGATATTGTGATACCTCATGTTACTTGAAATCTTGTTTACGATCGTAATAAATTATTAATCACTTTAATCACAACGCCTTAAGCCTATAACCCGAGATCTCTCGGGCAAGTTACATAGCGTTACGAAAAACGCGGGCGTTTGGTCCCCCCCAAAATTTTTTTTCTGAATTTTTGAATTGTTTATTAGGACTCCAAATTTTTTCAAAATTTTTTTCCGCGCGAAAAAATTATATCGCGATTTTAAAAAATCTTTAATGACGCGCGATTCACGCTTTATTGCTTTTTAATTGTGTTTTAATGGAAGTTTGATATCAAATTTCATTCATCGTTCTAAAGCTATAGTGCACGGATTTTTCTTCGGTAAAGTTATTTAAAGCTAGTTTCTGATGTCAAAAACGACTTCCGATAGTTTTTTAATTTTTTAAATAATAGATTTTATTATATGTAAGTTTAATTAAGTCGGGACGGTCGGAAATCGCAATAAAAATTTTAATTTTTTAAAAATGTTTAAAAATATAAGGCCAACTAGTATTCATCCTACTATAAACCCATCACCTCCTGACACTTCTATGAGAATGTCCCGAGAAATCCCACTCCAGCTGTTCTCAAGGTCATCCAGCTGTGTAAACAATGATTCATCAGTGTCAAATTTCACAGAAAGGCAAGACAACGGAAAATAAAATTTGGAGCTTTTTCTTCAAAATAAATGCATTTCTTTCGTTTTTTTTCAGTTTTAAGTATATTTTACGTTTAATTAAATTAATATCAAAAATGTCTTTCTCCTTAAGGGGTTAATTAATTAATATATGCCGTTTTTTACTTATAGAAGTATGACTGTATGTAATTAATTCTATTTATTCTAGTAATGTTGTAATTACGATTTTTCAACACTTTTTTTATAGCAGCTCACAGGAGGTAAGTCGTATTGCAACGAATCATTTTATGTCTTGTTGCAATATGAATCAAGTTACATAATGAGGCGATTAAATTCAAATCTATTCTTGTATATAATTTTAAAATAGAAGATCGACATTGTATAAGTGTATAAGTGTATTTTATTTGTTTCAGGGCATATAAATTTTTAAAAATACAAATCGCTATTCTTGATTACTAGAAATTAATATGATGCAGTCTTAATATTGCGAATAAATGGTTGCAAGTTTATATTCAATGAATTAAAAAGCAAAAATTCTAATTGAAATTTTTAGAAAATAAATAATTATTTAATACGATCACGTTGTGCGTATATTAATTAACTTAAAATTTTAGAAATTTTATTTTTATGTAGAAGTATGACACTAAAATGTAGGCAACATTCTTATGCGAAACAACAGCATTAAAAAATAAAACACTTTAGTTAGTTGCTGAGAAATATAATTGAAAAACTAACGTTTTCAGCCTGATTAACAGGCCATCATCAGATCTAAAAAGGAAAATGGAACAGATACATTCCATGTATAGAATACAAATATTTAAATCAAAATTTAAGAACAAAAATTAAAAAAATATATAAACGGAAGAATATATAAAAATAACACAAAATAAAATAAAAATTAAAAATTAAATAAATCTTCCAATAAACTAATTCTAGCTTGAGTTTTTAGTGAACGTTTTAATCATGTACTTCCACACTGACGACAGGCTCTCAGCATCTCTCGCATTTAAACATCCCTCACATAGCCTATTCTTATATATTTCAATCTTCCCCGCCGTCATTGATATAGTGGGGGAAGATACAGGTTTTATAATTGTTGCCTTGTCCCATTTCACCACCGAACGTTGAACTTGGTAGGAGTCCCGATACGATTAGTATCGACGGAGCAGCCACTTGGGAAGCGTGATTGAAGGAGAATTACTAATCAGAACGGATAAAAGAAAGAAGTGAATTTAATATAATCTTTGAGAATCAAGGACACGTCGCACTCAGTTAGTTAACTAACTTAGTGCGAGGTGTCCCGCTTCAAACTTTCCGAGTGGCTGGTCCCTCTTCGATCTATTCCCGATCTTAGGGCGACTTTCTTTCTACGATCTATGATTTCTGCACACAAAGAAAGGGTTCCGATACAGACATTTCTTTCTAATCTTTCTAAACAATTAAATTTTTTTTATCTAAGTTAACCGATTTTCACGGATTTTGTGATGGTTCGGACCTTACAGAAATACTGATCTCATTTACTTTCATTTATCTTTTTATCACTTACGGATAACGAACACTTCACTGAACAAACACAAGAATAATCGTCGTAAAATAACGAATACCGATTCGTTTTCCTTTGTCTTCAGGCAACAATTCGAAACTTTTCGGAGCGCGGGAGATGTGGACGTCGATATCGACGTTCTACCCAGTATATACTGATCGGATAGTATTCCCCCAAACTTTAAAACTCTCTTTTGAGAATCCAACATTTGTTTTTCTGACAGAAAGAATTCTTTTACATTTTCTTCTGGAAATGCGGATTTATGTCGATATTTTCTATTAAAGATCTTTTGAAGAAATGGGAGGATGTCAGAAGAACGGTCTTAAAATGGCATTTAAACTACGTTTAGGTTAATAGGCCTAGGGATTTCTACAATTACAATGCTACTAATTACTTCTGAAAAATCATTAAGAAGACAAAAAAGCAATCGACATTGGACAGATACTTTAATCCTCACAAACGGAAAAAACATGACTAAAAAAATTGCAAGACTGTGTATATACAGTCGAACTCCCTATAATACGATAGATACGTTCTGTTTTTATGAAATTCATGTCTTACGAGTCCTTAAATACATGAGCCAATCATAGCCCGGCACGTATGCAGTTTACGGACTATGGCTGTTTGAAAGGTTTTCTTTCATAAAATTAATCGATTCTAGACTAAATTTACTCAACATTGTATGATTTTGGTAATAATCCATATTAACTACGCTATAAGAATAATATTGTTGGATTACTTATGGAGTGTGCACCGTTCGACAACGCCATCGCTTAAGCTTGTTTTCGTCGTGGAACCGCGCATCGATGGGCAGGCGCGTGTTTCCTGATAAATTATTTTTCTGCGAAAAATTTGCTGAAATTTGGAGACATTATTAATATAAATATAATTTTTATGGATGTTAAATAATAAATGGTTTTTAGTAAATCCGCTGCTCGTTTAAACTCAACGGTTTGTGCAATATCTACTATTGGTCTAGATTCGACCAATCCTGTCGCGACACGAGTCGGCGATGACGTTTTACCGAAATATACGAGTTTCTTTTAGCGTGTTTATACGAATACGGTCGCAATTTTTTGCCGTTATATACGAATCCGAATTATATGAACCCGTTTTATACGGGGTCTACTGTATGCATTGTTATTATTACGTATGAAAAACGTAGTAAGAAAGTGTATATTTTTATTTTTTTTTTGGGGACCTCCAGAACGAATTGATCAAATTTGTGAGGGTCATAAAAGCGCGTCGAAATTTCGACTAATTACAAACTTTAACGTCAGAAAGTTTCGAAGATAGAATCTGGTCAAGGGGATGTGTTAGTGACAAAGCCCAGATAAGACGAAAACTTTCTCGAACTGTAAAACAAACGCGACGCGACAATAAATAACAGGGGGGGAATGTCAACAGAGAGAGAGAGAGAGAGCTTTGTCGAGATGCGCGCGAACAAATATCGGGTCGAAGCAAGCGGGAGAAAGGGGGGTCTAAGAACAAAAGGGATATCTGTTAAGTAAGAACGCGGTAGGGGATAAATGGCCACAAGAACATCTGGTGAACCGTTTGGGTTCAAAGATGACAGAGAAAAGGGACATAACGGAGTAAAATACGAGTGCGAACGTTAAAGGACCGTCATCACCTCTCCGACCTTTTCCCGACCCGAATCAGTCTCGGGTTTCGCCTAGAAACAAAAAGAGTGACCAATCGGGGTAAGGGAGAGGAGGAAGGGGACCAATCAGAAGGGTGGGATTCGGGAAAAATCTTATAAAACCCCCGAATCTCAAGGACACGAGGCCGATTCTCCCCGAAACGCGTGCCTAGAAGACTTCAGGTCATCCGTGCATCTACCAGCCACGTCCGTCCAAGCTTCTCCGCCTACTCGGAGGAAGGGAGTGTGAATCCGAACACAGGACATCATCATTCTCCGTCGAACTTTTCATCAAGGAAGCCCCGGGGCACCCGACGTCCGACGTTCCTAAATTTTGTTATTCATACTATGTAAGTTAACTTCATGTCAAAAATAAACGGTTTTCGTGTAAGACACTTGTTATCTCTGTCTCCTACCGCCCCCACCCACATACGGTTTGACCCTAGGTTTTCCTGACGCGCAATTAACGTATTGCCCCAAAATCGGCGAACTTACAAATTCCCATAGAAATCTATGGTAAATCTATAATCGGTTAAAGAACAATTAGGATAGGAAACAAAGTCTTGCCACGGATTATGTTCGTTAACCGATCACATACTATATTACGTTTCGGGAAGTCTTTGGTAAAATGCAAAAAAAACGTAATATTGCGTTCTTCTATATATCAAGTTATTTCTAGTTAATCAATTAAAGTTCAAAATAACGAAGACGCCGTGCATTAACGCGTAAAACGCAGTTTTTCGTCTAGTGTGCCAATCTCTAACCCGTGCCACTACGGGTTCAGATCGTGTCGCCGACGACAATCGATAGAATATCCCAACCTGCCTTACGTATTTGTCAATGCCACTGCTTCAGGGCTTCATTCGATCGACGATCAAATCATCGACGCCCAGGACTTCGAAACCACCGATCGTTCTAAAACGAAGTGTTTCGTATATTGGATGTTGCCTTTATGTTAAATTAAACGATTTTATGTTAGACACTTACCGACACTGTCTCCTCCGCTACCCCCTACTTAAAACGGACCCTAGACTATCACTGACACAAAATTATTTGATTTCCTCTAAAAATTGGCAAAACACTGGTGTCCAAGAAATGGAATTTCAAATCTCCGATCTCTACCAGGTCGGCTACCTTAGATTTCTATTACTTTGTTTATAACTTTAGACAATATTAAACATGATCATGAGATCAAAGTATACAACAGGACAAAATTAGCAACTGAGGAATGAAGAGTACAGATGAAAAGTATGAAAATTTTCCATTCAAATTGCAGGCATCATCTTACAACATGAAAAAAGTCGAAAAGGATTGAAATATGCACTTGGAAAAACACTAAAAGTAATGTACTTCGAATAATGTTTGCAATTTTAATTGTATTGATATTAGTGTAGGGAATATCTCGATATACTTTAAGATGTAATTTAAATACCTGAGAAAATATTGTTGGTTTAACAGCAATTTGTCTCAAGTAAACTTTTGTCCCCTTTCATTACGCACTTAGCTTCATCGACAATATTTATACTATGCAAAATTAAGTATAGGCCTACATTATCATTTAAGTAAGTCCATTCTTAGTGTTAATAGTGTATAATTGAAGTTTTGTATGAAATGACACTCAGTTTTTTGTTTCAACAGATATTTTTACTAATTTACATTATTTAATAACATACTTCGCTCTTTCTGCTCTGTAGATTCTATGTAAGCGGTTTTCCGGTCTATAATCAATTCGGTTAGAACTACAATATATATTTCCCATATCATGTATATCAGGACCACGGTGCTATATTGGTGGGACAGATGACCTCCAAAAAATTTTTAGGGTTGCTCTTTCGTATTAAATCCTGGATTTCTCAAAGTAGTAAAGAGAATCTATATACTATATGACTGGATTGCTGTATATTAGATCTTTATGTAATACGTCTCTGTAATCCAACAAATGGTAGACGGACTCACTACAAATTTTCAATTAGGAACTACAATTTTATTCTCAAAAATGACAAATGCATTTCAGGTTGGCGCAATACATCTCAACTCCTCCTCAGTGCTAATTTTTAAAAATAATAAAATGTTTTTAAAAATATATTTTTTTAAAATAGATATAATACAAAATATAAAGATGAAAAAACGTATAAAATATTCCCATACATAAAAAACATCTTTGAAAATTGTAGTAAAATTCTAAAGAAAGATAAGATATGTTTGGCCCCATCTTTGACCAATAAGATTTCAAATCATATTTCTAAATATGTCAACAGAAGTAATCATAATAATATAGATTTTCTAAAAAAAGGCAGGTGTGGTATATAAATTGGAATGTAATTGTCAAAACTCATATATCTATATTGGAGAAACGTGTCGTGTATTGGAGGTTAGGATAAAAGAACATGAAGCAGCTATTCGTTTAAAATATAATAATTCTCCATGGTATGAGCATACAAAAAATAGTAATTGTAAAATCAATGGCAGTAATATTAAAATTTTGCATTATGAAAAAGACATATATAAACGAAAATTTAAATAACATTTAGAAATAAAGAAGAATTAAAAAAATAATTTACTAAATACGGCGTTACATAAAATGAAATTATTGCCATCAATTAAAAGGAAAGTAGTAAAATTTTTACTTGGTTTTTGTAAATTACAATTCGTAATCTGTTTATATTTATACCTGTATATTGTATATTTTAACAGTAAGTAATGTATGTTGTTTTCAAACATCATTATTAATTATTAATTCTGTTAAATAGTCATAAAAAGTTTTATTTTTAGTGAGGAGTTTAACATGTGGTATTAAGCACTTCAATGGCTCTTTGAGCATATACTGTACAATACCTCTACTATGTATTCATGTATAACATGTGTTGGTGTTATAGTTGTGTTAGTATCCCTTGCACAATTTTTATATCCTTAAGAGTAAGTGTTTAAGAAAAAAATTTTTCTGTAGGTATATTTGTTGTTGCATTTGTCATTTTTCAGAATACAATTGTAGTTCCTAACTGAAAATTTGATGTGAATCCGTATAACATTTGTTGGATTACAGAGATGTATTACATAGAAACAGAATCCTTAATATCCTCAGCCATTGGCTGGCTTTATTGAGTAATTTATGATCAAATGCACTGTACTATATATACTATACTAATTATACTATATTGTCTTTATATTTAAATGAAGCAAAATAAATAAGATTTTTAAAATGTCACGATTTCCTAGGATCGATTTTCACTCTTTGCGAGTTTTGACGCATAATTTGCTCAGAACGAACGTCTCACTTTGACTTTTAGTCACAATTATTTTCGAAAAATGTTCGAGAATATTTCACTCAATACCGTATTCTGTGATGAAATTAATAAAAATAATGACTTACCTGCAAATTCTGGTGCTAAATCAAGCACTATTGCAACATCTCCCGAACTATTAAAGCCGAAACATCCCATTCCAACAAATAAACAAATAATTATTTTTGTACTTTCGCAGTCTAGAAATGAAATTGCTAAGATGCATGCTGCCGGACCAAACATAGCTACAATATAAATATTTAATTATGTAACGCCAGAAATTTTAGAATTTAATTTACAAATTACGATGTTGCAGTTCCTTACCAATTGTTTCGCAAAGTTTTCTGATATTAGTTATACTTAAATAGTCACGAGACTTCATGAAATCAGCAACAAAACCAGAAGTAAACATAATTATAGCATCCAGAGAATACACTAATGCACTCATTATTCCATTCTAAAACACAGATAATATACATAAATTTGGTGATATAAGACTTATGTATAGAAATCGTCATACCTTTTCGATAGGGAAGTGCTGAATGATATGTAAGTAAGATGGAAATTTAGTCGATATTACATTATAACCGAAACCCCAACAAATTTTCGTCAAAGCTACTATCCATACTGCTCTGGATGTTAAAATTTTTTTCCAGGGTATATTCAACTTCTGTTTTAAGTAAACATGTATTTATGAGAGCTTAGTCAATAAAGTGGAGTAACAAATGATATTACCGTTTCTCTCGAAGATATGTTTGGTATGCTTTCGTTAAGAAATGCCAATTCTTTGTCCGATATTCTGGGATGTTGTTGTGGTCTATCATAAATTGTGAACGTAACACATAAAGCAAGGACAATCCCACATACGCCTGTTGTAAATATATAGATTAGAAATAATACTGTCACATTTTAGCATTGAAGAAACAATCGTATTATTTATGTTTACCGAAAGAGTAGAAACTGGAAGACCATCCTTTATGTTCACAAAGATATCCTGTTGTCATTAAACCAACAAGTGTACCGACTTGAGTACCACTATAAGAAATTGATGATGATGTGGACTTTTCGTTTTTTGGAATCCATCTTCCTAATAGTGTAAAAGATCCCTGAAATACAAGTCCCTGCGATAAAATAATTTTTGAATAGGATGCTAAAAATGAGATTTGCAATGACAATAGTAAATTTTATTCTTACATGTGCTAATCCGACAATGGCTTGACATAATGATATAACTGCCACACCGACATCTGCACAAAAGGGTGTCAAAATGATCAGTATTGACGATAAACAGGAAAAAATTATGACACTTTTCTTTGGTCCAAGTGAAAATGTAATGGATCCTCCTGCAAGTTGAGCTAACACGCAACCGTAGAAATAACTTCCTAGTATTATTCCTTGAGTGGGTTGTGTCCATTCGTAAGATCCCTAAAAGTAATGTAATCAGCAGTTCAATATAATTCAAGCTTTACAAATTAAATTACTCAGATTTTTCCACTTAGAGCTAAGGTATTTCTTTCATCGATTCTTTGTTTATTCGAACATTTTTTAAAAATAATAGGAAAGTGATTTGAATTTCTAACTGAGATTCAGAAGAAAATGTGTAATTTCGGTGGCTGACTTCATTAATATTTTGTACAGCTTTTAATCTGGTAAATGTTGAACTTTTAAATCGGTTCATTCATAAGTTTTGACAAAAACGGAATGAATTAAAATATAAGTTTTAAATAATTACATTTCCGTTCTATTTATTAATTTATGTAAAGAGAATTATTCCGCGATTTATAAACACATTTTGTATAAAACATTTGATATTCATCTCTGATATTTGTTAGTAATTTATGCATACATTCTACGTTTAAACATTTACCTCTTTGTAAATATATGTAGAATTTTCTTGATAGACTTTTGGACATTTTTTTGAAGACGTTGTATTATACACGTGGATGGCTGAATGATTAACCATTGCTAAAATAGCGATACTCAGCGCAGATCTTTGGCAGTAGGAGATTGCATGTATAAAAAATGTAGACAATACCACTACGTAACGAGCTGGAACAGGCACTAAAGAAAAACGTTCGTAAGATTTAACAACTTAAGTTAAAATTTCAATAAACGTAAAAAATATAAAAATAAGATTTTATAATTAATTCAAAGCTTGAAAAAATAACTACAATATTTACATAGGATATTATTGTTTACGTTATATTTCTATTAAAGAATGATTTCTCAAATCTAAATATAATATACAAATTTAATAAAATGTAAGATAAAAGACTCGCTGCTGGATTTTTTATGTATTGGTAACAAATTAGTGATACTGATGTATTACTAAATGTATTTAGTCCTAAAACTTTCATAAAATCAATAAATGACGTTATCTGTCATCTTTTAATATTGATCACGTTTGGAGGCAGGCAGACAAATAAGGCATCACATCTGATATGTTACTTCTCTAGCTGCGAAAAAACACCAATTATATACGAAAAGGAGATATTTATAAAAAAATAGTTATTGCAAATTGTCTTTTATTTCAATAATTAATATTGTTTCGGAGTTACGCATATTTATGAATTAATTTTAAAACATTCTTACCTTTATGTATCATATTTATATCGTAAGATAAATAGATTCTCTATTTGAAATGGTTAAAAATATGTTTGAATCTTTATTTCTTTATCCTATGATACTGGTTTACTTTAGAAAATAAATTTCAGTTAGAATTTTTTTATTCTTCTTTTTCTTTTCTTATGATTCAAAGTAATGTTGAGATCTTTATATTCCTCTGTTGACGACTAATAATGCTTTAAAATATAAATATTATACGAATAATTTTCAACATATCACCACGAATAGAAAAAGTAAAGCACCAGGTATCCTGCAACATAAGAAAAATATATTTAACACGTTTTCTAAAATATTTTACTTATATTTTTAGTAAAAATTTATTTGTACATAAGTAAAAGAAATATCACTTAATAGTCGACTTTAAAATATAATTAACGGGCAGATGAGCCCGGTTCCTCGAGCATGAAATAACAACAAACACTGAAATTATCAGATCTTTCCTACTTCTAATTATTCTATTTTATTATATTATTATTATTAATTTATATAACTACGAATGTTATTTTGCTTAAGGGTTTAAAACACTAAGTTCCTAATGTCACGCATTTTAAAAATTCTTTAAATTGTGTCCAGTAGAGAAATAAAGAATTTTGAAAATATGTTAGATAAGGGTTTATTATACCTGTGAAAAATCTAAAATAACCTTTATAGTTATATAAATCAAATACTATAATATCATAAACATTAAAAAGAAAACTATAAAAAGAGTTTAGTTATTTTAGCCTACCATCGTCATGTTTATCGCCATACTCGTATAGTACAAAATGTGACGATTTCATTGGTGAAGTTGAGACCAATTGAAAATGTGGTATCTTAAATTTTTTAACATATGATATATATATTTTTTAATGTCAACTCTAAGAATCGGGAGCAATCACAGCCGCGTATCAAACGGTAATCTGCCAATCAATCAGATATCTCAAAAAAACAGGACTAAATATTTAAACTCGACAACCTCAAAAACCAATTAAACTATATTGTACGATGGCTGATAACTTTGCATTATGTCATTTTCGAATTTGAATGAAACCTTAATGCTGCTCCTATAGAAAGAAGGAATGTTGCGAAAGGAGGTTGAGTAATTCGCAGAAGTAGTCATTGACATTCTCCTGGAAGAGAGGATGGTTAACGACCACAAATTAAGATTGGTCTACTCTTAATATTTGAAAAGTAATTCGTGTTAGACAGGTTGTGATGGCCTGTATGTAATCGAGTTGCTGACCTTATTGTCTAAAAGACGTTATACGACTTGTTTAAATCAGGGCTGTTTAGTCGTGTAAAAATCTACCTACTTCAACTCTGACCAGGGGCAGACTTGTTATCAAAATAGATCCGGAAATTCTTTTGTCATTACGTGACGTCATAATAAAATATTCAATAGAGTTCTAATATAGATAGAACGTAGGAACTTTTTTATTCCAAAGCTGAAAGACTCCTCTAAGTAATGACACAGTCAATATACAAATATGTATTTTATAAGTTTTACTTTATTGGTAGTTATATATATCAGAAGGAAAGTGTACAAATCGGTGAAAAAATGACCCCTTGCGATTTTTCAGTTTTGAACTCGGGACATCTTAAAATGTCGAGATATGCAAAAGATTCGGTCTGTTTTTCTGTATCTTTATTAAACTGTGTGGGGAAGACACGATTTTGTTCACCCTGATTGAAGCTAATAAGTTCTGTGGTTTTTAAACCGGAGTAAAATGGTTTAATACAGGAGTTATTAAGCTTATAAGTCATTGACTAAATTTTGCCCCCATACACATTTTAACATTTTACGCGAAAACATCTTAACAGGATTGTACAATTATAAAATGAAAAAAAAAGTTTATTTTTGAAGGTAGAGACTAGTTTTATTTAAAACAAGTAAAACGACAAAACCGTATTTGGGACAAGTCTATGTCTCGGATACAGAATCACATTGACGCTCATGGTGGTTCTCGTTCTCATTCTCCAAACTTGTTCAAACTTCGACGGCCTCGACCACAATGCATCTTCGATGACTAATCTAATTTCACAATTTCTCTCCGTTTCGTGTTGGCTCGGGTTGAATTTTTGTCTGTGTAGCGAAAAGTTTTCGTGTTTGAAAAAAATAATCGCGGCTATTGTATCGTCCGAAATTATTTTTTTATTTTGCACAAACAATATACAGTTTAACCCGATTATAACGTCATCGAATGTAACGACGACCTTAATATAATGTCAAATTTTTATCGGTCCTACGATTTTATTCTATGCGATATTCGATATTTTTACCTCTATGCTGGTAAGAAAATCGGACAGTACGATTTTATAAACGAGACATAGTCTTGTCAAAAAAATTGTGAACGCTAATACCAAGTAAAATATTCATTAATCGAGCTGCAATATGAAAAAAAAAACATCGTAGACTTATACATTCCCATTGTCTGTCCGTCTTTCCTGACGGTCGAAAAAAGTGTTAGATAAATTAAATGCAAAACCTGATATAAAAAGTGTAGAAGCATTAGGCCTCACTTACCTATATGCGAACTTCCAATGCAAAAGATAAGTCACGTTATTTTTACAAAAAACTATTTTCTACTGTGAAGAAATTTAGATACACGACTTTATTCTTAATGTAAAAATATCATGCACAGGGGCAAGACACAACAGTAATTATTTGAGGTATTTTTGTAACATTTTTGCCATGTGGCACTAAGAGGACCTTTTTTAGCAAGCCTATTATGGGTTCATCCTGGTCCACAATGTGATATTTTATTGCGCTAACAACGTGAGTGCATTTTTAAAGTTTCGGGGTTTTAGGCCCAGTAGTTAAGGAGTTAACGTATGTACTGATAAAATTCATCAGAGTAGTAAAACTAGCGAAAAGTACATTTAAGAAAAATAATCTATATGATTGTATTGAACAGACACTCTCAGGATTAGCTACTAAAGATGATTTAAAGAAATTCGAACATGCTCACGTTGATGAAACTACAAAAATCCTAATGGATATTCAACAAACAGTACAAAATCAGAGGAAAACATCTTTTGATGATGTAACTAGTAAAAAATTTCCTAGCTATAAAGATACCTTACAAAAGGGAATAAAACAAACTAAAATTATAGACGAACCACCTCTACCTGCATATACTGTATTAGTATATAGTGATAACAATAGAGCCACATTTGATGAAACGAAAAGTACTTTAACTAATAACGGGAGACCTGATAAGCTTGGCGTAGGCATACGTCGAATAAGGAAAATTAGGAATGGTGGAATTGCAGTAGATTTAAACCATAAGAATGAGGTAAACTACTTTAAAGAGAATGTCGAACAAATTCCAGGTTTAGTATCACGTTTGCCAAAAAAGAGACTACCATTAGTCAAAATTGCTTCCGTTCCGAAAACCATTAATAAAGAGGATCTTGCATTAGACATTTTTGAACAAAACCCGTACATTTTTCCCACCTATACTGAACGCAATTTTGTTGAAAACGTTAACATGAGGTTTTTGCTTAACCAAAAAAAATGAAAATCATAATTCCGGAATTTTTGAAGTATCTCCACAAATTAGAGAAAATATGATAAAAGCAAAAAAAATCCATCTTCTTGGGACAACCTGTCCTGTCTTTGACTTTCTTCCTATAACACAGTGTTATCGCTGTTTATCATTTCGACATTTTGCGAAAAATTGTTCTTTAAAAGAAACTGTGTGTAGCCATTGTAACGGAAATCATTTATATAAAGATTGTCAAAACAAACATGACTCACCGAAGTGCGCTAACTACTTAAGAGAAAACAGAGTACAGAATTGTCACAACACAATGGATACAACTTGTCCAGTGTATCTAAGAGAAAAACTAAATTCCAACAAAGAAATGACTACATAATACAGTGATCTGCAAGGCTACTTCACAACTCAAAGATTAACCGGTGTCTGGAGATTGTGATCTGACATTTGTATTTTGGAACTGTAGAATGAATATCGCTGTATAATATTTGATTATTGTATAATTTTTAATTAATTATCTTAGTTTTTTCTAATAATTGTTACTAAGGATCATACATTTTGTCATATAAATTGTAGGTACTTAGCATAATTTGAATTTCCTATATTGTTTGTACTGTACTTTGGTGTCATTGACACACTTTTAATGTCAGCAACTTGTCATGAATTTGTATAGAGTTGTATATAGATCAGTTAACTTGTTTTGTTTTTATTTTGATTTTCATGTTATTGATGTACTATTTTATATATTTTATTTCTTATGTTCTTTTAATTCTTCATCATTAGAGTTATGTGTACAACATCTATACCTAGGCATTGTAATTTCTTTGTGTACAACCGGTAATGCACCAAAGCGGGACCAGTCTGTATATATATATTATATATGTACAATAAAATAATGAATGAATGAATGTATTTTTGAAATGTTGAGTCGGATTAGTCTAGAATTGATTAATTTTATGGNATAAATGAACGGCCCACAATGTGGGACCTGGTTGTGAAAAACGTAGTTGACATGTCTACCACTCACCGAAAAATTTTCTAGGTTTTATCGATTCGGTCAAATTTAATCCCTGGTCTCTCAGAGCAGTTGGCTGCTCTCTGGCCGTCAAATCTTAAGGTGAAAAACCATATATTTTCAATTAAATAAATTAAAAAACATGGCGAGCAATTAATTATTGTCACATCGTCACAATGCTGGGCAACATAATTTTACCTATCAGCAGTGAGTTAGTCAGATGTGGCGCTATCACTTAGTTGAAAAGAAGAAACGTGGAAAATTTTTTAGTAATTTTCCCACGCATTTTTCTTGTTTTCGTTTTGGAAAAAATTTTTTAAAACAGTTACGTCTAGTGAAGAAACAATCTTTTTTATTGTCAAATAATTTCTTCTTATGTAATTTTTTTCGCGGTAATTTTTTGCTAATTTTTTTTTTCGAATTTGTATTAAATTCTTTTATGATTTTCCATCCGTTAAGATTTTTTTCAAAAGTTTTGAATTTATTTTCAATTTTATATAATTTTTTAAAGTTTCAGGCATTTAAGACATGACGATGTTTTCGAACCTGCGAATCAAATTCAAGAAAATGTAATTGATAAGTAACGAATTGCATTTATGACGTAGAACACGTGACGGTTGTTATGTTTACAACTACAACAACTGGCGGGCCTCTCCCCCACACGTCGAAGTGGGTGAAAGTTGTCTCGTGTACTCCTTTCTGTAGAA